TACTGTGTCACGCTCCTGAAATTTCAGAGCTTGCATCTGCTGTRTGACATTCCAGCAGCCTTTTCCATGCCGGTTTCGGCCTTCTCCCTCCTGCTCCCCTCCTCTTGTATTCTGGGACAGTCTTATTCTTAAATAAAGCCAGCCCTGCTGTACCGCTCCCCAGCACGTGCCCCGTGGCTGGCCTGATTCCTGCCCTTGATGCTGCTGTTCTTGGTGGCTCAGCCTATATTCAGCCCTTCAGAGACATGGAGCTTTCTGTAGGATGGTTTCTATGGATTGGATGGTGCGGCTGGCCCTCGGGTTTCACTGCACCTTCCTTCTCACCAGYGAAAGTGACACGTTTGCTGAGACTCGTAAGGGGCAATTTAGAGAGCAGAGAAGACCCTGGGACTCAGCAGCTGCTACCTCTCCGCCATTCCCTGGGCCCTGGCCAGAGTGAACCACGCATGGATCCTGGCATCACAGTCTGAATTCATCCCTGTGACCCGTTAAGTACTCAACAAGAACAACTTAAAGGAGGGAACGTTTAGTCAGGGATCTCAGTTTCAAAGGTCTCTGTCCACTGACAGCCGACTCCATTGTTCTGGGCCGGAGGTGAGGTGGTGCACCATGGCTGAAGGGCGTGGGGGAGGGAAGCCGCTTTGCTCGAGGCTGCCAGGAACCAGCGGGAGCTGGGGGGAAGATGCACCCTTCCAGGGCACACCTCAGTGGCCCACCTCCTCCAGCCAGGCCCCACCTGCCTCAGCTGCCATTCAGTCCTCTCAAACTAGGATGGACTGATAGGCAGCAGCTCTCAGTGTGCAGCCGTTGACTTCTGAACACCGCTGCCCTAGCGTAGGAATCCTGTCCAAACCATCAACCCGACCTGTCCAGAAGAAGAGGTTCCTCTGGTCCTGTGTGTTTGCATGTGTCAGGGCCCGTGTGGGTGTGGGGAGACACCTTAGGTGGGCACAGAGGCGGACTTTGTCCTGGTTTGTTCTTACAACGGGATGCAGCTCCCAGAGGACTCATTTTCTGCAGGGGTGGACCAGAAGTCYCCTGGGGCAAGCTGTGGGAATTGTCGCCAGTTCCCCTGCCCTGGGAGGCTATGAAACCAGCCTCGAGCTTGCTAGGTGTCTCCGCTGTCCCCCAAGACAAAGTTGGCCTCCATGTCGTCCTCCCCTGGGCCTGGAGTCTGCGAATCCAGCAGATCCTCTGGGTGGTCGTGATGTAGGTGGCACCGTGGCTGTGCCGAGATCTCTGAACAAGATGTTCTTGGATGAGCAGGTCCTGTGTGTGTACCGTGAAGAGTGGCTCCTGGTGCTCCTTCCTTGGACCTCCATGGCATGGTTGGCCCCTGGCCTATCTGAGCCACAGGAAAGAGTGTCACAAGTCTCATTAAAATCAGGCTCGAGTCTCGCTGTGGCTGCATCCCCTGATGTCTTAACCTCAGAAGCAGAGCAGGGCTCACCCACAGACTGTGGGTACAGCCTTGAGGTGTTGTCCTTGTCTCTGTATTTTTATAAACAAACCCTGCAAACTTATTCTATAATTTTCTGAGAATTGAAATCCTGCATGCAGCTCTGATTTCTAGAATGACCTCTCCCTTTTTTTGGAAATAAATCTTAACACTTGTCTAATTTTTATTTCCTATATTTTTATCAATACTCTCCCACAACTTTTAMTTTGCATTTTCTTTTCATAAATATTATACTTTTAATGACATGAACAGCAGATGATTCAGAACAGGAATTCCCTGAGGGGGCGGCTTTGACAGGGAGAGGAGAGTTAGCACAGCTGGGGTCCAGCTCTGAGACGTGCTGTGGGGGGCTGTTCTTCCAGCTTCCCAGCCCCTGGGAGCACCTGCTGAAGCCGGTGAGGCAGTTCAGCCTCAGGACTGTCGGATGATGCTCCGCAGGGGTTTTGGAAGCATGGTCGTGACGGTGTCCATGGATGGACGTGGTTCAAACTGTTCATGTCTCTAGCTTCTTTCTCACATTGCAACCTTTTGGCGTCTTCGCCTGTGGGGCCAGCACCTGGTCGTGGTACCCGCTTCTCTTTCCATCTCTCAAGTTAGTTTAAAAACACTCTTCCCAGGCACTATGCTCAGAACCAARTGTAGAGCACCCGGGTGGCGTGGATTTAGGAGCAGACTGTTTCCCTGGGGGATGGCGTGCACGTCGCGTAGTGTTCTAAACAGAACGGCCTGCCTCACCAAGGAGARGTCACAGATGTCACTTCACAGTGAGGCAGGGACCGTTTTGTTCTCCTGGTCCTTTAGGTGTCYGGGGACAGTGGGGAGCAGCCTGGCCGGGGGCCCTCCTTCCTTCTCCTGCCCAGCTGCTTTCTGTGGACACTGCCCTGCTCTGCCCTGCATCACCACTGGGTTCCCTGAGCTCCAGTTTTGTCTTAGTTCTTGGGACATAGTTAGGTGTCCTCAAGCAAGTTCAGACCCAACGTCACTGTGAACTCAGAACTCTGAGCTCTCAGATGGGACCGTGTTGGTTCTTTTTTCTGTTGCTAGTTGAGATTCTGTTGAGTGGTTGGTGAGACCTTACTGATTTTAAATGATAAGCTAGCTGTATCAAGGTATTATCAGGAGAGAAATCTGGAGTTTCAAATGCCGTTCTAGGAGATGAAGTTTTATTTGTGCTTGGGGTCCATTTTCTCTAAACCCTTTGACAGCAAGAATGTGCACACATCTTGTAAATGCTGGTAGGTGTTTGCATTTAAATGTGTGATTTGAAATGTTAGGGCCATAACTCAAGAAGGTACGTGGCTGAGATCAGGGAAGCAGGGGTGGCCTGCGGTGCTGGTCTGTGTTGGCAGGAGCTCTGAAGCTGGCTTAAGAGCGTGGCCTGCCAGGGGCTGGGGAGGTGGCTGGCATCAAGAGGAGCGGAGTTCATGGCCGATTCCCCAAGGGCAGGCACTCGCCTTGGTGCTGCCAGCTCTGGCTGGGCAAGCCTGTGGGATGGCCTGTCCCTCGGGGCAGCAGCGGGGGGGGGGGGATGGTGGCCATAGTGGGGGAGGGGGGCTTATTTTTTACTTGTGATTCTCCAACCTTCCAAAAGAGCTCCCGAAGCACACCCGAGTGCTGTGAAAYTGGCCTCAGGCAGAGACCAGTGTGGGAGTCCAAGCCTCTTTGGCCGGTGTCCCTGGCCACTTTCATTCTCCCTCCTGCCCTGAGCCTCTGGACAGCATCACATCTGACTCTGGTTCAGCAGTGTGGCTGCTCACGTTCACCTTCCCACTGGAGCTCAGAGAGGTGCACTGAGGGGACTGTGACCTTAGGTAARGCAGGGCTGGGGCTGTTTAGGAGGGAGGTTGGGATTCGGATGACTCACGTCACCCCACTGCCTCTGTGCTGTGGCCAGAGGACGTCTTGACCCAGGGAGAGGGTTTTGTAACAGAAAAGGAGCATCTCATTTAAATGACAGACAATCTTCCCAGTTCCTTCTTCCAGTGGTGGGTCAGTGGCAGAAAAAGATAGCATCTCTGTGCCCAGCGGGTGTGGGTTGGCTTTGGGCCTCTCCAGCCACCTGCRGGGCTTTCCTGGTGGATAGGGCCGTGACACACCCGCAGCCCCAGGGCCCCTGCTGACTGTTTTCCCTGTTGTAAGTTGGAAGAGTTCACTACAAAACCTGGAGCTTCCYGTGGCTCTGGTGGCCCTGGGGTTCAGAACATCTGAGCTACAGTGCTGGGTTGTCCTCAAAGCCACCGCCCAAAACTGTGCTGTCAGCACGGAGCCTGCTGGCACCCCAGGGTTTTACTTATCTGTTCAAGAAGTAAATCCTGTGTCTTGTAAGTGAGCTTCTGTAAACCTTACAACCAGCCAGAGAGAACTGGGGCCATGGTGTTTGCGTTTCCAAGAAARGAACATTGTTTTTACCAAAGTGGCAAATAGTCCTCCACCATGTGGAGATCAGGAAGCTTCCAGGAACTGTCAGGATGGGACGCGGAGCACACAGGCCCTTCCCTTCTCTGCTCTTGCAGTTCCCGGAGGGAAAGCAGTAACCTTAGAGGTGATTCAGAYGTCTAAGGCAGATGGTTGCTGCTGGGGTTTCATTTGAAGCACAGGGAAGAGGCGTGTGGCTGGACAGTGAGTCCTGGGCTGGGAGCGTGAGGAGCAGAGGTGCCCTCCGCAGGACTGCGGGACCTGGGTGTCCAGGGCCCCGTGCCTGCTCTGCCTGACTTCCTCGTGGCTCTCTGCTGTGTCACTGAAAGCGCCTTCCCCCCGTGTCCAGGAGGCCAGGAGGAGCCTCTCAGGGGCGCAGAGATGCCTTGGAGAAGAGAAGGCTCCAGTCGGGAAGCGGCCGCTCTCCGGGTCCTCACCTGACAGGGGCACTGGGCAGAAAGCCCACCTACCTGTGCAAGTGCCGCCCRGTGTCTGTGCCTGGGGCAGCTTGGCATGAACGTGATCTCTGTCGAGGCTTCATCTCACAGATGGAGGTTCTTTTTCGTACAGGAAATTCTTGCTTCTAGATTGGAGRAAACTTTCTCACTGCTTCTAAAATATAATCCATAGGGTGGCAAGGAAGCGTTCATCACACCAGCTGTGTCAAAAACATCAGGGATAGTGTGAATGGGGAGGAGAGGCGACCAGACCACCTGCATGTCACCATTGACGTCACACGTGGGAACCTGTCCGTGCCCTTCTGAGCGCAGCGTGCAGACACTGAGCCGACCCCCTAGGCTGTCTGTTCTGTGGCTGCTGGTCACCCCAACCAAAGGTTTTGCTCAAATTGTGAAGAAGAATGGGTTTCATTGAGACTACTTGTAGGTTTCCCAGAGGTACTGGTAGGACCAAATGACAAAAATCCCTGCAGAAAAGAAACAATTAGAGGCTCACATGCCAGCAAACTAACTGGGATGATTCCGTAAAGCTGCATGGTGTCACAGACGTCCCTCCAATCCCGGAAGTCCGTGGCAGAGCCAGTCCCAGTGATTGCAGTGGAGGGAGGCGCTAGGGCAACTCCCAGGGACCCTGCCCCTGTGTCATGGTGTACTGCTCTTCTCCGCAGGAGGAAGGCATCGTGAAGGAGATCGACATCAGTCACCATGTCAAAGAAGGGTTTGAGAAGGCCGACCCTTCCCAGTTTGAGCTGCTGAAGGTTTTAGGACAAGGGTCCTATGGGAAGGTAAGTTCAGCTCCCGGATGRGTGCAAGAGGGTCTCACTCCTGAGCATCAAGGACACAGGGGCCACACCTGACAGAATGAGAAGTACAGATGGCCCTAGCTCRGCACAGCCCAGGTGACCTGCAGCCTGTGCCCATCAGGGAGTTGTGCCAGTGGGGACCGCCCTCCCCCTCAAAACCATGGAGCCTGGCCTCCCCAGCTGCTCCCCAAGGTTCCCTTGGTCACCCAGGGGAGGGGGCAGTTGAGCTTGAGCCAGAGCATCTGTGGCAGTGCATCCTAACAGCTAGCTTTTTAAACAAAGCTCAGAACAGTAGAATAAGAGAAGGAGGAAAAACACCTCTCTGGATTGGCCACCTGACATCCGGAAGGCTGGGGCACAACTGGCTCCCTTAGCCTCCGAGCAAAGCTCCTTTGCCTCTCAGAGTGTCTCCCCTCCTGCAAGATGGTAATGGGCCCCACCTTATGTGATTGGCAGCTGCTGCAGCGTGTGTAGCCAGAACTGCTGGCTTCCTGTCTTCTTCCACCTCCAAATTACAGCAATAAAAACTGATTTCTTCCAGGAAATGAGAAAGGCTGCCTTTCACTTGGGCCAYGTCCAGAGACAGCAGATGCCAACAGGTGCTTTCACTCGGTGGCCTGGGGGTTTGTTCCCGGGAAGCTCTGGCTTCTCTGCCCCATGGTGTGAAGGGTGGATGGCAGGCATGGCCTGCCGTGCCCAGGGAGCCCTCTCCTCCAGGGAAGGGGGGCGGCCTGGCCCTCAACTGCTTTCGTGTGGCCTGTGGACGTCCACCAGACCTCTCCAGCCTTCCCCTGAGTTTTTACTAAAATGCAATCAGCTTAATCCCACTTAAGGGTAGGATTAATAGTATGCTGATATCTGAAKAATCTCTTACAGACCACATAAAGTTGTTTGCAGAAATTTATCTTTTGTCATGCTGGGTAATGTGGTGAGGAAAGTGTTTATTCTGTTGCACATCACCAGTATTCAGGCCATTTTGGTCTATAAAATGCTATTTACTACGGCTCCCGTAGTGTTTGTGAAGCCTCACTCTGTRAATAGCCATCATGAAAAGCAGAACACAGAGCCTGTTTCAGGGGACAGCTCAATGTCTTGCCACTGACCAGAAAAATAGGAAAGATTATTTCTTGGAGAAATGTGATTTGAAAACACAGACAAGGGTTCTCTTCATTTTKCTGCCTTTCCGAGGTGCTGCCCACGTGTCATTTCATGAGTGGAGTCAGCCTTTGCAGGCGTGGGCCAGAATTGTCTTTGCCCCAGCGCAGCACGGACGAGGCCTGCCGGGTTTCATGGCTGTGGGTGACCAGCTSTGTTACTGCTGGAAACACCATGGGTGCGACAGCCCCATCCCAAGAGGGGCACTGAGTTCCTGGTGWCAGGGAGACAGGAAAAGCTTCCTGGGCCCCGGGGAAGCAGACCAGGGCTCCAGGTGTCCAGTAGTGCCTGACTGCAGAACCACCACCCTTAAATGCCCTGGTTGGAAAACTAGTGTATTAAACACAAAAAGAGAAAAGGCTTCCCAATTCCTTCGTTCAAACTTCARAGTTTGAATTTTAATTTTGCTTTAAAAAGAAACCCGTGGGGGGGCTGGGGTTGTGGCTCAGTGGCAGAGYGCTCGCCTAGCACATGCGAGGCCCTGGGTTCCATCCTCAGCACCACATAAAAATAAATAAATAAAACAAAGGTACTGTGACTRTRTACARGTAAAAAATTAAAATAAAAAAAAGAAACCCTTGGAAAACAAGTAGAATGACCGCCTTTGGCAGAATCCCCCTGGAGCGCTGACCCCCGTGATATGCCACGCTTGGCCCTCCTGGCCCTCTTGTGAATTCTCTTGTTATAGCCACGTGTCCTCATGATACAAAGAATAACTGAGTAAGTTCAGAGGGTCAGAGAGGAGAAGCAGAAGGAGACAAGCCCCTCAGGTGGGTGTGCCCTAAGGTSACCTCGATGGCCGGCTCAGCTCCTGCTCGCTGAGAGCCAGCGGTGGCAGCCAGGCCAGGCCAGGCTGCAGAACAGGGGAGCCAGGCTCAGGCCCCCTCTGTGCACTGAGTGGGACCCGGTGCAGGAGGCTGGTCCTCAGAGCTTCACTCAGGTTACTGGGAAGGAAGCAGAGCCCTCGCGGGAAGCAGCCACGGTCAGTATCTCTGCGCTCGACCACGGAGGCTGTGTTTTCCATCCAGGCAACAGCAGCAGGCAGAGGACAAGCCTGGGCTCTGCTGCCCACACTTCTCMATGCTGCCAAGAGGAGACACCGTGGCCTCGAGCAGGGGCGGGCCTCCTTTCCACCTCTAAGGGAGAAGAGTCCTGGATTCCACCACCCTCGCTCCAGCCAGAGACCAGCATGAGTCTGKCCCTGCCTGCAGGAGGGTCCACTCACAGCCTGGCCTGCTTCTGAGCCCCTCCACCCTCCTCTCCACCGAATGACTGAAGACACAGGAGACAGAGAAATGGATAAAATGTAGCCTCGGCCGGGGAGACCTGGGCGTGCAGGCTGCACTGCACCCAGAGGCCAGGGGCGTCTGCAGGACGACTGTCAGGACCCTGACCGTCCAGGCCCTCTGCAGGATCCTCAGACACTACTCTCTGCTTGTGCCACAAGAAGATTATTCCTATAAACAAACAACAACAACAGCCCACACAGAACACACTGGAGGAACGAAACGTCTCTGGCTGTGGAATTTCTTTCTGCAGCAGTTGAGGCCTAGAAGCCGCGACACCCCCACATGGAGCACAGCGTGCTGGCGATGGCTCTGGCCCCGAGCTCSGGCCTGCAGGGCGCACTGTGCCCGGGAACCCAGTGGGGGAGGGGCTGGGTTGTGGCTCAGCGGTAGAGTGCTCACGTAGCACGGGCAGGACCCTGGGTTCTATCCTCAGCACCACATAARAAATAAATGAGTGAAATAAAAGTATTGTGTCCAACTATAAAATAAATGTTTTTAAAAAATGGCCTGGAAAAGCAATGAAGCATGGCCAGGCACAGCCGAGTGCTGAAGGGTGGCGTGGACCTCCTGCTCTCGGGCGCAGAGCTGGGCACAGAGCCCCSTGCTCTTGGGAAGAGCGACTCCCCGTTTCTCTGCTGCTCCTGGGGCTCCCTTCCGTGGAGTCCTGGGAGTGGTCTGTAGGTCRTGATTTTCACACTCTGAGAAGGAAGCAAACCAAAATCTTAAAGTTTTAGAACTTTCCTGTGACCCCGTGGATGGCAGCACAGGAATGGGTCAGACGCCTGCCTTCCTGCCGCTTGGCCCCCTGCAGACGAGCTGTCACACTCCAGTGCTGAGAGCATCAGGTGCTGATTCTGTGGACCACAGTGGTCCCCAATGAGTGGGGCGATTCAGGATGACATCACATCTGTCCCAGGCTGCAATTGTGGCAGGTATGTGGGCCACATGGCTGCAGGAGCCGTCCTAAAAATGTAGCACGGKGGAGTGTGCCGCTGGGTTAGGTGACTGTGTCTGCTGACGAGACAGAGCTGTTCAAAAGCTGCCTTTGCTGCGTTGGCGTTGAGTGCTACAGTGCAGGAGCCTGGCAGGGGCACAGAGGGCCAYGCAGGGTGCGGCCAGGCCCTGCTGATTGTGTCTAAGCTGCTGCGGTCTTGGTGGCTCACCTCAAGGTGCCAAGCATCTGCTGCTGAGCCCTCTGCTGGCCGTGGGAGCGCCTGACGCGATGAYTTGGAAGTCCTGGCACTAGCAGGAGTTTGATCCCATTAGTGGAGCGGAGCTGCCCTTCCTGTGAGAAGCGAGAGATGTCCTGYGAGCACCCGCACGGTTTGGCACCGTGTGAACTGCATTGTAACTGGCAGCTACTGGTGCCCTGGCTCTGGTGGTCCAGGCTCCAGGGGAGTGAGCTTTCAGTGCTCCCTGAATGCAGTCAGAACTTCCACTGAGGAGGGCCACACCCTGCCCCTCACTACTGTCACTGCCCCTCAACTGCTGGACTGGAAACAGCTGACCTGCAGCCAGTGGCACCATCCCTTCCACCAGCCGGCCGTCACTCACCCCATCCCCCTTGCCAGACCTTGGAGACCCGACTTCCTCTCCTAGGTGTGGGTAGAGGCTCAGTGGTGACCCTGCGGCCTCCCTGGGACCAGGACTCATCCTTCAGCCTTGCCTACCACCTGGACTCCTGCTGCATGTCCCGCCTCCCGCCTCCTGGGCACCAGCAAGGGGCTGATGAGAAGTCTCCACAACACTCATAGCCAMGTGCCTGTAGCTTCACTGGTCTCCACAGACAGTAGATGGAAGTGCAGCCTCAGGCGGGAACTAGACTGTGCTGCGTGTGGTTGTCTTATACGTATCAGGGAAGACTCAGGAGTTGGGCCCTGATGTTTCTCTGTCTGCAAATAATCCCTTCTTCTGACCACTGCTGACAAGCTTCTTCCTGCCTGTTGGGAATCTCATCCCCCACACCAAGAGAGGCGTGGGCCTAGCAGGACATTTCCAAGATAGCAGAGTTTGTCCATCTGTAGTAACTTGCACGGCTATGGCAGAGCTGTGTGTAGAACCGGGATCCCCAGGTCCTGCAGACGGGCTCAATGCCTCATATCCTGCATGGCAGTCAGTGCCCGTGAGGGTGAGCCCCAAGTTGTCTCTCCAGGCTGCACCAGCCCTGCAGAGGTGCRAATGTGTGTAGGTGTTCCACCATCGCCCCAAATAAACACTGTTCTCAAACCCCAGAAAAGGGAGCCCACCTCCATCTGCCATGTTTCCCAGGACCCAGGCACCTCAGGCAGCACACCACTGCATAGAACCGGCCCGCCTCTCGGCCCTGGGCGGAGGGGTTCAGCAATTGTCCACGGACACTGGTGTCCTTGCTCAAGGAGGGCTGTGGTTGCAGCAGTGACAGACACTGGAGGGACGGGTGGGCACAGCTCTGGGGTCTGGAGGTGTGAGTCTCTCTGGGACACAGGTGCAGTCTTGGAACTGAGGTCAGCTCTGTGGATCCACTTCTGTGCTGGGACCTGTGTCTTCTCGCCYCTCCCTCATAGGGTCTGCCCAGGACCCTGTGCTGCCTGAGTCCTGAGTGTTCTGTCCTCATCAGTGGGAGGCCTGAGAGAGCAAGCACTGGTCAAATGTCCGTCTGTGGGGAGAAACTCCTCCCCTCCCCTCCCCAGTTCCGGGCAGTGCACACGGCTTACCACGGCTCAATTCCACCAAGTCTGGTTCCTTGCGTCCAGCCAGACTGCCCCAGGCACTTGCTTAGAGCGGGTCCTCTGCTTTCTGAGGCTGAAAAGGGAGGCCTTGGGAGGGAGKAAGGCAGCTCTGCCCTCAGACCACTCCCTGTGGGCAGCCCCTTCTGCCTGCCTCGCAGCCAGAGCCTCTGGGGAATCGAGTTTAGCATCTGTAGGAGAATCAGCACGATCTCCATTTGCCTGGGGACTTCTTTTCATAAAAGATCCTCTGAATGTTTTTCCTGTACTAATTTTATTCCAAGTAGGAAGGGGAGTTTAAACTTAGCCTGTCTCAATTCCCTCTTCTTTTTGGTTTTCCTCAGATACACCTCAAAAAGTGTCTCAGAAAGTGCTGAGTGTGTCTGAGAGCAGTTAGAACCAACTGTCAGTGACCTGAGCTGCCTGCAGGTGCTGTTTGGGTGAGGAGAGTCCAGTAAGGGAGCTGGTGATCTCAAAGGCTGGGCAGCGCCGCTCTCCGGGCAGGACGAACTCTGAGTGGTTTTCATGGTGGGGGCAGTTTACAGAGGGTTATTAAAATAGAACAGATTATCTCCCTTAAAACTTTCGAATATTTTGTTTTTCTAAACATTCTCCAAAAAGAGAGAGGTCGTGTTACTTCTAGTACCAAATGGAAAGTTAGTGGCACCAAGACCAGATGGCTCTACGAACACGACCAACCGTGGTCCCCACGGAGCTGCAGCTGGCYGGCTCCTCCTGGCAGTGGGGAGGGTCAGACTCCCTGCGGGGTCTTTGTGCTATGGGGATTTCTCGGTGGAGCCACTGCCACGCCGGGAGGGTTGAGTTTGAGGTCTGGTCAGTTTCAGAGTGTTTTCTGCTTGCCAGGTGTTCCTGGTGAGGAAGGTCACTGGATCTGAYGCTGGCCAGCTGTACGCCATGAAGGTCCTGAGGAAAGCCACCTTGAAAGGTAAGGCCTCAGAGCGCTATTTGGAGAGGCGCTGAGAAGGCGCTCACCACACTGTGGTTCATGGGTTCTCATGGGTTCCGGAGCACATGGGCCYTGCTGTCTGGTAGTCGATCAGCAATACAAACATTCCCTGGGTGTTTAAGATATCCAGGCAGAATTTCCAGTTTTGGAGGAGAGCCATCTTGCGTAAACACCAGCCGTCCACAGATGCTCCTCCTGGAGAGCCTGGGGAAGAGAGCGGCTGGCGGAGCAGGCTGCTACCTCTGTGTGCGTGACAGACCCACCGGGGTCACCRGGATGCTCAGCTTCAGGTCAAGTGTGGCTCATGGCCGAGCTGTTTTCCTGCTGTCCCAGTGACCGGGAGTTAGGAGTCCAGTCCAGCAGTGGCTTCCAGCCGGTGAGAGCACCACACAGGGTGAGAACATAGCGAGGTGCAGAGTCTCACCCACCTCGTGACCCCGCACCCTGTTCGCTCTTGGTGAGGGAAGTATGCTGTGCAGAGGGAGAGGCTGAACCCATGACACCTGGCTCTGGACACCCAGTTGGCAGCGGTTTATTAGTCTCTGCTTCCACCCAGGGAGGTGGCCATTAATGCCACACAGGTCACWTGGGCTGCTCTCAGGAGCTGAGGCTGGGGGAGGCAGGCTGTGTCGTGCGAGGGCAAGGTGGCCCAGTCCCTGCACATGAGAGGATGTATTTGATTTTGTGGCTGGCCAGGGAGGGAAACCCGCTGGGTTGCAGGCTGAATGGGGCCCAGCTGCCCCAGCCCACAGAGGAGTCAGCAGGCCAGGGGGCCTCGCCTGGGGGGGTTACCCAGCAGGAGCAGGGAGCTCGTGGTCAGCTTTGGGGTCCTGTAAGACTCAGGCAGCCCTTGGTTTCTCTTAGAAACCAAGAGCACAACGTCCGTGGCAGGGGTGTGCGGGGAGCTGCAGAGACAGCAGCATGCTGGCTCTGAGTCCTGTGCCTTCTCCTGGGAGAGGAGACARGACCACCAGTGGAGGGCGTAAGGGMCAGACCAGATCCCTGCATGTCGCAAGCGAGCCATGGGCTGTGTGTGTGAGCTGTGCTCATTTGAGCACAAGAGGGGCCTGGCCTGACATTACTGCCTGGGCTGTGCGACTGACCTGTGTGCCTTGTCCCTCACTCTGCCTGTGATCCCACACAGCGCCTGAGGCGGGTGTGGCTTTCCAAGATGTCAGTCAATCTGYTGTCCACAAGAAATCACCAAGCAAGACTCCACCCTTGGAAATCCAATCCCTTGTTTTATTTGGRTGGAACTTTCTTGAATGTCTTTTCCCCAGTAAATGGAAGGTTTYGGGTGTGCTCCTTCCAGCAGTGGAGCTGACCCTTGGGCCACCAAGCCGTCCTGCCTCAGAAACTTAATGTTCACGTTCTGTGTGGTTTCTTCACCATTTTCTTAGTTATTGATACACAAGCACCTTTGAACCCAGTCCACGTCACCAGCCAGCCAGCTGGCATGCGTGCAGACCGGGACTGCCCTGAYGTGTGGCACAGGGAAGGCGCTCTCACACGAGGAGGTGCCAGGAGAAGTTGGGAGGTGAGCGAGACCCAAGGTTCAAGGAGGCGACCACTTCCATAGAGGAGAGGAATCAGGGTGATGTTGTCAGCATGACTAGCAATCAGAAAATGTAGACACTGACCCTGGTGTCACCTGGGGTCCSATGCACGTCCAAGGGGAAGTCGCTATGAGCACAGGCCAGGGTGGCTCAGGAGTACAGCTAAGGATTTGGGTGCTCACAGGTTGTTCTGGAAATTCCTGTGTGCACAGAAGACTTGGGCACTTTAGTTTCTAGTTGAGTGTCGCAACCTGATTAAAGCCATGCTTTAGATTTAACATTTTTATCGTTTTACAGTATTTATGTAACTGTTACCAGGTGAACATGAACAAATGTTTCAAGAGTCTCATGACAATGTTATTTTAAATAATTGCTCTGTTAGTAAGAARAGGTATAGAAAACAAAGCAAGCTTTGACTTCCTATCCCCAACTTTTAATAAAATAACCTCTCTACTTAATAGTTGCCCCAGAGAAAAAGAAATACATGAAACATTCTCTAGTTCAGGATCATCGAAAAGTCCCAAACCAAATTGCTCATGCAGTTTCTCACAAGGTTAGACAAAGGTGACCACGAGGCCCAGCTGCCCCGCTCCTGGGTATTCACCAGGAGAAATGAAAACACGGGCTACACAGAGACTGCACTGGAAGGTCTGTGGCGGCACCAGCCAGTTCATAAGAACCCAGCAGTGGGGAGAAGCCAGCGTCCACCGACCGGTACGTGAAGCAGTGCTCTCTGCACGTGGCGGGAGGGCACTTGAGGCTAAAGGAAGCTGAGAGCGCTGCACACTCCACAGGCAACATGGTGGGCCTGGAAGACAGCTGCCCAGTGAGACCCAGCCCAGGGTCCTCGTGTGTGCTGCTCCATCTGTGTGGAGGTCAGTGGTTACAGGGCTGGGGCTGGGGACACAGCAGCAGTGTGCCTGGTCTTGGCWCCTTCTTGGGTGATGAAAATGTTTTAAAATCGATGGGTGGTGATTGTTCAACTGAACACATAAAAACCCCTGAATTGTGCACTTTGAATGGGGGAATCGTTTGAAACGTGGATGATCTCAGGAAAGCCCTTGTTTTAAAGGGAGCAATCCTAAATAGCGTGGGCCTTTGCTGGCCCACCCTGTGGCTCGGACCAGAGGCAGAGTCTTTCTGTGGTTGAAGATGGAGACTGGGGGCATGCTGGTCCACTCGAGCCAGCCATCTCCCTCCTGTCCCAGACTCYGTGTAGCCTCCGGATCTGAGCGGTGACCCTGGACAGCTCCTCCTGCCCCTCCCAAGACTTTCCTTTCTCACCCTCAAGTGGGTGCCACCGAGGGCCTCTGGAAGGACAGGGAGGAAGCAGGGGAGGTGGGATGCTTGAATGCAGGAGGGCAGGCTGGGAAGCTGCCCTGGGCTCCGTCAGGTTGGCCCTGAGCTCTGAATGCGAGAGCTCACCACTGTCTCCTGACTTCTGTCCCCTTGGGTGTGTAAGCCTTCTAAGTGCCCCCGAGAAGTGGCCATTGRCCCAGCTGGTATGGAGCAAGCAGGCGCTGAATCTGTCTGCAGGTGCCCCACAGCGGGTGCTCACAGCAGGCAGACCCATTGTCAGGAGCTGGCCAGAATGACAGCAGCAGCTCTGTCCAGGTCACAGGTGACAGGTCGCTGGTACCTTCTGTATTTCACATTTTCATATTTGACTTTTTGTAATAAAGTCACTTCTACATATTCTAGAATAGTTTACTTGAGTACGCAGTATCATTTTTGSTTGTGAGAGACCCATGAAGGCACGGAAGAATGTAGATATTTTCCATTGCCTTTTGAAGTCAGCTTGAAAGCCAACGTGTTGCATCCCACGCTGTTCTAACTTTCTATAATGGTCTACCACCAAAGAACAGATATTTTTTCCAGAAACCCTGTTGCAGTCTATTTTCTTGACAAGACGGAAGAGGCTCACCGGACAGTGCTTTGTGTGTGGTGGCCCCAGACCTCACGGTGCTGCAGCTGGCCCTGTCATGGGGAGAGCAGGTCCACTTGCAYCCCTCCTGCAGATAGATGGACGGCCACCCACCTAGCCTCAGCCTCACCTCGTGGGTGGAGAAAGGCACTCCCCGCCAAGGTACATGTAAACCCGTTTAGCTCCAACGCTTCTGCCTTCCAAGAGCCAAGCTGTTGGAACACCCCGTGGCTCACTGTCCACCTTCATCACATGGCCGGTTTGTGAGCGAGACAACGCTCCTGAAGAGCGTGGCCTGGAGCAAAGGGACATGCCGTAACACCACGGTGGTGTTCCCCATCTCCAAGGGCACTGCCCCAAGAGCACAGGCTGCCCCTGAAGGGAAAGCGCATCACCCTTGAGCCGCAGAGACACCTGAAAAGGGACAATGAGGGGGCTGGAGGCTGGCAGAAGACATGAGAATCACCGGAGACTGCCCTGTGGGCCTGCAGCTGGTGTCCACGTGACTACAGGGAGGGAAGTGGCCTCTTACTAAGTGTGGGTGTCGAGCGCTTCACCACCTGTCTTTAAGCAGGTGACAGCCATTTCCAATGTCTTCAACTGCTCCACAGCTGGAGGAGGAGGGAGCTGGCAGGGGTGTTGGCGCTGTGCCCCAGCTCCATGCCTCACCTCCCAGCGGCCACTTAGGACTGTTAGGGTCTTCTGGAAACCCGGGTTCCCACACTCAGGCCTCTCCGTGCAGTGGTTACAGGGAATAGTCCATGTCGCTCGCAGATCCCAAAGGTAACGGATCCCGGAGGAGGACACCCCCACCCCATGCTGCGAGGGAGTTTGGTTGTTAACATGCCCCTAGTGGAGGACACCTTCCCAGGCAGGAGACCAGACAGGAGTGCCCTGGCCTCCATTCTAGTAGCGAGTTGAAAGGTGGGGCCGCCTCAAGGCACCTGTATTGTGTGGCCAGTGCTTCTCCATCTTGGGGCCAGCTGGAGTCACCTGGGRCCCCCAAAGCTGCTGGTGTGGGGCCACTGCAGGGGGCCTGAGTGGCTGGTYCAGCGAGGGAATCGAGGGAATCCTAAGCTGCCCTGCACATCCTGCATGCCGTGCATGCATATGTTCAGGATCAGGAAACCAGGACCCTGCGGCCACAGCCAGGGTCACCTTGGGAGCTTCCTCTCTCGCCACCTTCTCCCCAGGGCTTGCATCAGTGGGCACCTTCCTCAGTGCATGGAGGGTGTGGGGTCAGCAGGCTCTGACGGAGGGCCGTCGTCTCACCCCTGGTCCTGTTCTCACTGGAGATTGTCTGGGTTGGAAATGTGGCAGGGCTTCAGGGGTCTAGGTTTCGTTCSGTCTGATGCGTGGGGCAGCCAGGAGGAGGGTGAGCTTCCGCTGCCATCTGATCAGAAAGGATCCTTGGTTAATCCCTCCATGAGGAGTCCGTGAGTCATGAGAGCCGGGAGCTGGGCAGAGACGCTCTCCCACACAGTGGTCCATGGTCTCAG